CGCAAGTGCGATGCGAACACGCATCGGAACGGCAGTAGGAGTTCGGTGGTTTAGTAGGCGCTGGGCCTCGCGGTTTAGGCGGCAAGCGACACCAGCGGCAGCGGAGGAATCGAGTTTGCAGGCGTTGGATACGATAGGTGCATGGTCAAAGGCCAGGTCTTCATAGACTAGCTGAACATGGGCAAAGACGCGGGCGAAAGTAGGGGTGGCGTCGGCAAGGAAATATACGTACGTCCAGCGGCCAATGCCGGGAATGAGGACGTGCGTGTAGCATAACCCCCCCCTGGGGGACTCACTTTAGATTAGATCACGATTGATTTAGTTACTGTAGAGCCGGACGCTCTACAGTACCACCGAGCGTGTCCACGTGTGCCCACAGCCCACGTGCACACGTGTACCACGCGCGAACGAAGCGCACACGCACCACGGGTAATACGTGTACTGTCAGCCTCGACATAGCTGACAGTATTACAGTGCAGGCCGACCTGCACTACAGTAGCCCACTACAGTACCTCGGTACTGTAGTGTTATGATAGATGGTTTTGTATATTAAATATGGAGCGGACCGACGGCGGACGGGGGCGACAAGCACGGGCTTGTCCTAAACCGACCGCCAAGGTCAGTCCACCCAGCTTATTCTAAACGTCGCCTCGGCTCTTCGCGCGCGTTTAGTCGGAGCCGAGCCGGAGTGGACGCGCAGCACGCGAGCGAGCACGGAACCGCCTCCGCCCGTCAGCACTGGTACGTCACCCAGTGCTGCTCCGGGGCGTCGAGGCGTCGATCCGCTCGTGCGTGCGCGCGTCCCTGCTCGCTCCCGCTCTACCACCGCTACCCGGGCCCGAGCCCGGTTCCGTAGCTGGTTGGCCCGCTTCACCCCTTCTCCGAACCGGGGTCTACAGGTCGAACTGCGCATACACCTCCAGTCGTCTGGGGGTGTTTATGCTACAGTGCGGAGGGAGCATTGAACCAGCTTGCTGGGCGCCTCGTCGAAGCGCGGCTTGCGCCGCGTCAAAGGACTGGAACGCGGCGGACTGGGACTCTGGGGCGAAGGCATACGCAGTGATAGCGGGGGGCGGAGCTACGGACTCGCCAGTGCCGGGGTCCAGGCGGATCGGATTGCCGACAGTACGGACGAGAGTGCGTGCTTCAGCAAGTGTAGCTCCCGAGACTGACGTAGGAGCTGCAACGGCGGCGCGAGCGGCAGCGACTGTAAGGACGGAGGAACCCGGGCGTATGTGAACACTTGGCAAATGCAGAGGGGCAGGCGGGACAAACGGAGAATTGGAAGATGTTGCAGTTGTGCAAGAGAGGGAGGCAGAGCAACGCGGAAAGCATTTGTAGGAGCAGGAGGGAAGATGGGGCGACGAGGAGGACGGGGTTGGGCGGCTGCGACAGTCACCCAGGGGCGCGTGGGCGTGGGGACCTGGGCGGGGGTGACGTGGGCGGGTTGACTGGAAGGCGATGGCGGAGGCGCGCGCGAAGTCGAGGGCGGAGTCGCGCGCGTAGGCGCGGGCGGGGTCTCGTGGGAAGTGTCAAGGCTGGTTGCGCTCGAGTTCCCTACGTCGAACTGGCTTGGCGCATCCGCTGTCGCAAGCAGCGGGTGCGGCGGGCGCGGCGACGGAGGGGACGCTGACGTTGTATTCTTCTTCTTCATGTGTGTGTGTGTGTGTGTGTGTGTGTGTGTGTGTGTGTGTGTGTGTGTGTGTGTGTGTGTGTGTGTGTGTGTGTGTGTGTGTGTGTGTGTGTGTGTGTGTGTGTGTGTGTGTGTGTGTGTGTGTGTGTGTGTGTGTGTGTGTGTGTGTGTGTGTGTGTGTGTGTGTGTGGGGAAATATTATGTGTGTTTTATTTTCACTAATCAAGGGGGGGCCGATGCCATATCATAGGGCAGGCTTCAAGGACTCACACTTGGGCGGGACAAGATAAGGCCGCGCCATGATAAGGCATGCGGGCGAGGGTGGCTGAGGCAACGCTTGACCATATGACATAACTAAGACGCTGAGAGAGACGAGAATTTGCAGTACCAAAGGTGGTACCGGTGCGGATGGCAATTTGATGGGAGAGGGACTCGAGGACAGATGTAGAGCGGGCGCTGGGAGCGTCCAGGGTGTCGAACGCAAGAGGCACAAAGTGCCAGTCCAGAAGAGGGAGCGAGGCGTCGGCTGGTAGATGTAGAGCGGAGCGGATGATGCGAGCGTGCGTGCTTAGCTTGTCAGCATCCGCCACTTCGGCGGCGCCGGCTATACCGCGAGCAGCCGGGATGAGGGCCCCCACGCGGTAGGGGCTCCGGACAGTGACATCGTAAGCCGTAGGAAGGTCTGGCAGAGCTCCCGCAGGAGGCGGAGCGGGCTGAACGAGGAGATCGGCGGGGCGGTGAGCCGTGCCAGGGATGAGAAAAGGGACTTCCATATCACAGCTCAATCCTGCGGCGCGGAAAGCATGTCGTGCCAGAGTGTTCCGCACCGTGTTGTGACGATGCACAGTACCGAAGCCGTGCTTGCACATGGCGGCATGGTCGCCGCGTATATCGATGGGACGGCGACAGTGAGAGCAGAGTAGGGGCTGGATAGAGTCATCGTAGACCGGGGAGTCAAGATGACGGCGGAGCATACATGACCACACCTCACTGGAGACGCGTGATGTAAGGGCGGGATGAGCACACAAGAAGGAAGCGGCGCCTGGCGCGCACAGTGAGTTGTAGCGCGCTCGGCGGCGTACGGAGACGGGTGTGTGGTCGGAGGGGCTGGGGAGGCGATCCCATGCAGACTTTTCCCAGTACATCCTTGAGAAGGCGCCATGGAGAGCCTGAAATAATGTCGTGTGTACGCGTTCAGGTCTGTCCAGGAGGGCGTCAGGCTCGAATAGGCCGAGGGGGGAGTGTGCTGATAGCACGCCACGAGTGCGTATTTACGGATTGATGGACGCGAGCACTCGGACGAGATGGCGGCGTGCCATGCCGCGGTAGAAGGGCACCGAGGGATTAGCGGGACCTTTAACGCGGATCGGGCGGCTTCTAGAAGGCTGGCGGCGTAGAACGCATGCACAAACGGGGATAGCGGAGTGAAGCCATGACCTCCCATACGAAGAGGTAAGCCAATTTGAGTAGAAATAGATGCCAAGAGGGGAACGTCGTTCAGGCGAGAGTATGTGGCGCGTTGGAGTTCGTCAAAGCGCACAGCAAGCGGGAGGGACAAGATCGGGGGTGTTAAGCGGAACGTATGTTCCACCCGACACACAGAGCCGGAACGCGATGGAGGTGAAACCGAATGCGGGCGTCCGGAATATCCTGAATTGGACGAAGCGCGTCGGTGCAAGATTGGATCTTGTTCTGTAGATAATTCTTGATGAAGGCGTCAGAGCCGAGGGGGGCGCCAAGAAGAACCAGTACACCTTCAGAAGGAACCTGAACAGGGAAGACATCGAGAAGTGGGGAGAGATTGGCGGGGGAGGACGATGGCCAGAACGCACGACACTTGAAAATGTTTACATGGAAACCGGCCGCAGATCCAGAATTTCGAAGAATTCGGAGTGCCTTGGTGACTTCAGCAATTGTGCCTATGAGGGTTCCATCATCAGCGTACCAACGGTTGAAGGCGATGTTGCACTCGCGGCTGAGACGGCGGATGAGGGGTTGGTAATATTTGGGGGGTGTTTTATTTTCACTAATCAAGGGGGGGCCGATGCCATATCATAATATTTGTGGTAAATTTATCAATGCAGAAGGGGTGCGCTTAAAATAATATTTGGTGGTAAATTTATCAATGCAGAAGGGGTGCGCTTACAGATACACTAGCAGATATGAAGGTAAAATAATATTTTGTGGTAAATTTATCAATGCAGAAGGGGTGCGCTTACAGATAAAATAATTTTTTTGAGGCCATTATCATAACAATAAAAAACGGAAATTAAATAAGACCGAATGGGTCTCGAGGATATCGAGCACGGGTCTGTAGCTCAATTGGTAGAGTGCTCCCTTAGCATGGGAGAGGTACCGGGATCGAAGCCCGGCAGATCCATCATACTTTTTGGATGGGAAATCATTTTTCTTTTTTTAACGGCGAAGGTCCGCCGACCGAACGAGCGTACCTTGCAGGTAATAATGTGCCGACTGGACGAAGTGTAACATTACCTTGCATAAAACAATGCAGCGATGGATGCGCGTGTGAAGTAATTTCGCAGAGGCGTGAGGAAGTTTTTGCCGGCAAGGTGGAGCGTGCCGCATGATTAACGCGGGCGTGAAGGTGCAGGACTGTGTGATGCGGTGAGCGTGCATGGCATGCTCCGGCGCCGCATGCGAGAAGGGCGGCGTGGTAGGGCGGCAGGCATGTAACTTTACGTGGCAACGCTTCTCCGCGCGCGCTTCTCCGCGAAAGAGCCGCCCCCGACGACGCGCCGTGCTCCGCCTCGCTGAAGCCGTTGCTCGCTGCCCCATACCAATGGCCGTTTTCGCCCGTTTTTGCTCCGCCCCCTGCGCGCCCCCGCCCCCGTTCGCCACATCGGCCTCCGCTGCCCGCCCCCCATTGGCTGCCGCTCACGCTCACCGTGGCCTCGACCACTAGCGTGCGGAAACCACCGCGGATCACGCGCGCACTGCCGACCGGCGACACCCGCCCCCGCGATCCGTTTCCCGCAAACCCCCCTTCAACGCTCGCTTCGCGCAATCCTGCGCCCTTCGCTTCAAGCCCACTGCCGTTCCCCTTTAACTCTCTCTTCGCGCTATCCGGCGCCCTTCTCTTCAAGCCCACCGCTGTTCCCAGACCCCTTTCCAATCTTGTCCCCGCCTGCCGCAGCCCAATAACAACCCCCCTCCCTCGGTGACGTCAACTCCCGCACTCGCCTTGTACCACCCCATCACAGAACCACAAGTCTCGCCGAACGCAATGACAACTTCCGCAGACCACACCGAGCCGCCCGCCGCCAAGTCGGCGCCCGCGGCGCCCAAGCCAGTGCCAGAGTCGGCCAAGCCGTCCGAGGAGGCGACGCAGCCCGTGGCCGCGGAGCCGATGGTGGACGCGCCAGCCGCGGCGCCGGCGCCCGCCGCGCCGGCGCCCGCCGCACCGACCGTCTCGGCCGCGCACCGCGCCCTCATCCTGGCGCTGCACGGTGCCGGTGCGGTAAAGTTCGGCTCGTTCACGCTCAAGAGCGGCATCCAGTCGCCGATCTACATTGACCTTCGCGTCACCGTGTCGCACCCGACCGTGCTGCGGGAGGTCGCCACCGCGCTGTCGGGCGCCGTCGCAGGCGTCCCGTTCGACCTGCTGTGCGGCGTGCCGTACACTGCCCTGCCATTCGCCACCGCCATGTCGCTCGCGGGCGGCGCCCCCATGCTCATGAGGCGCAAGGAAGCCAAGGAGTATGGCACCAAGAAGACCATCGAGGGCGCGTTCGAGAAGGGGCAGACCGTCCTCGTCGTCGAGGACCTCGTCACCTCCGGCGCCAGCGTGTTGGAGACGGTCGGCCCGCTCAAGAAGGAGGGCCTTGAGGTCCACCATGTCGTTGCGTTGTTGGATCGCGAGCAGGGCGGGAGTGACGCGCTTAAGAGCCAGGGCGTGGACATGCATGCCGTATTCACCCTGTCCACTGTCATGGATGTACTGGAGAAGGAGGGCAAGATTGACGAGGAGACGAAGGCTAGCGTGCTTTCGTTTATCCAGAGCAATCAGGTGGGCGCCACGGCACCCAACAACGGAGTCAAGGCCCCGGAGAATGGTGCCACTGAGAAGCCGCTATCACCAAAGCCTGCTGAGAAGGAGAGCAAGCTTACCTACTTGCAGCGCGCGGAGAAGGTGAAAAATGTCACAGGCCGACGTCTGTTGGAGCTTATGGAAGCCAAGAAGTCCAACCTTGCTGTCGCGGCTGATGTCACCACCAAGGCACAGTTGCTCGAACTTGCAGAGGCCGTCGGACCGGAAATTTGCATGCTAAAGACCCACGCAGACATCATTGCAGACTGGGATGAGGGCACAGGCCCGGCCCTTGCTGAGATTGCCAAGCGCCACCAGTTTCTCCTGTTTGAGGATCGCAAATTCGCCGACATTGGCAGCACAGTCCACCACCAGGTTTCCGGAGGCTTGCACTCCATTAGCAAGTGGGCTCACGTGATCAACGCGCATTCCATGCCAGGACCGGGCATCATTTCGGGTTTGAAAAAGGCCGTTGCTGAGACGGACAGTGAGATGGCCAAGTCTTTGGGTCTACTACTTCTCGCGGAGATGAGCTCCGAAGGGAATTTGGCCACCGCCCTTCCCGGGTACACGCAGAAGACCATCGAAATGGCGGAGGCGGAAAAGGAATTTGTGTTCGGGTTCATTAGCACGGGGCGCGTGGCCGGCGACGATTTCGTCTATTTGACACCAGGTGTGAAGAAATCTGCGGGCGGAGACGGATTAGGGCAGCAGTACAACACCCCGGAGAAGGTCATTGGGGAAAAGGAATCCGACGTGATTATCGTTGGTCGCGGGGTGTATCAAGCGGACAACCCGGCTAAGGAAGCAAAGGCTTATCGTGAGGCTGGGTGGAGGGCGTATGAGACGAGGGTGAGCGGATCGCAGTGAGGGCACTAGGTGCGGGGACGTGTGGACGTTATTCTGGTAATTGCAGCAGCACTGTACTTTTAGTAGACCACCTTTGACACCGAGTCTTTTTCGAGTTCCAATTGCCAGACATATCTGCTCCTCTCTATTTGCTACTAGGACCTTCGCTCGCATATCTATTTCGTTGTCGACTTGATTAGCTCGATGACCTCCGAGAACGATGGCCTGGTTGATGGAACGGTGCCCCAGCACATTTGAATCAGGTTCACGTAGGCTCGTTGGCAATGCATCGGGATTGCAGGTCGAATATCTTCGCTCACGACGCGCTCCGCCACACCCCTGGCATCCATGCCCTGGAAGGGAGCCATCCCTGAGACAATTTCGCACAAAACTTGAGCGAACGCGAACACATCCGATTTCGTCGTATGGGGCTCTCCACGAAGCACTTCTGGTGCCATATATTGGAACGTCCCGACGATTCCATCGTCCGCCTGCTCCTGCTCGTATGCTGAAAAGCCAAAGTCCCCAATCTTCACGTTGTAGCTCCCGTCGACGAAGATGTTTAAAGACTTAAGGTCTCGATGCAGAATGCCCTTCTCATGCATGTGGCTCATACCTTCGGCCAATTGCAAAGCTATCTTTCTAATCATTGCCCAGGTCAGCTTGATGCGATTTTTGTGCAACACATCGAAAAGAGTACCTCGCTTCATAAGCTCTGTGACGAAGATGTAGTTGGGTTTTTGCAGTGACGCGGCCACGCACTTCAGTAAGACTGGGCTGGAAAATTGAGTCATCCACTTCACCTCGTTCGTGAATTCCTCTATGGCGATAGCCGACTGTAGACCGGTTTTGGTGAGTTTCTTGATAGCAACCGTTTCCCGATTGTATTCCCCCTTGTGAACTGTTACGGTGCCACTGTCTGAAAGTCGATCACCCATGCGCAGCTTCTTCATATTCAGAATCATGTCCCTTTTCACCGTAAACCGTCCTACGATCGAAGGGGGTGGTACTCTGGCAGCATGGGACGGCAAAGAATACCCACGTGACTCCATCTCCGCTTCTGGCATTTGAAATGCTGCCCCTGGCGGCGGCATGGCATACACTGGGTTTGCTTGCTCGGGTTTTGCAGGAGTATCCTTTGGAAGACTGTATGTGATGCTCTCGTATGAATCATAATCATCCTCGTAAAATGGGTTGGTGTCGGGGCGTGCTCTCGTCTGCCCTCGTCTTTCATATCCAGAAGAAGATTGCTCGCCTTCTTCGTCGTCAAGGGAGTCCTTCTCGGCGTCGCCATACATCGGACGAGATGGCTCCTGCTGTGTCGCGCTAGTTCCTTGCGCATAATCATTTCCGCCGTAATTTTCCTGCTCTGCGTTCCTGTGGTATCGATTACCATAATCGTACGAGTTGCTCACATCGTCACTACGTGTAGTTGAAGCCGCGGCCTCTAGCGCTGCTGCTTGCGCCTCTTCTTGATGGCATATCGCGCATTGACAAAAAGCGGGATGCGACTTTTTCCGTGGCCCGTCGCTCACAACAAGGGCACCGCTAGAGTGCCCTGATCGTGCTGAGCGAGCAGCCCAAGCTGCCGTACTCGACGATTGCCTAGTTTCATTCTGCCGTGCACTATTCTCCTCCTGTCGCGCGCGGTAGTCGTCGTAGCCTCCACCTTCGTCATCATCGTCTCCGTAACCCTCAGGGGGAGGAAGAGGAAGATGCTGACCACCAACAGACTCTTCTGGAACGCCAAAAGCAGAAGCAAGTGCCTGAGCATTGGACATGTTTGGAACGGGTCGCGGCTCCGGTTGCGAGACGGGGACTGTGTTGGATGCTTGGTCAATGGCAAGTAGATCGCCAAACATAGTTGTTACGGCCTTCGTAGCTGCGTCTTCGGCGCCATGAACAACGAGTGCTCCATCCGCCGCGGTAATATCTTCTTGCCTCTTGCGCTCCTCTGCCTCTTCCTTTGCTTTCGCAGCTGCTTTTTCTTTTTTCTTCTTCTTCCGCTCTTTCATCTCTTTCTTCTTCGCCTTCTCTTCGTTTACAATTTTTTCCGTTTCGGCCCAGCCGTCCAAAGGGATGTCTGCTGTCTCGTCCAATCCAGCTGCTTGATTCTCTTTGGCCGCCGCATTCGCAACGACGTCTGGTGGTTCCTCACTTGCAAACTGCTCCACCCATTGCTCGCCACCAGCGGACGGAACTTGCTCGACAGCAAACACGAGAGCTCTAGCAGCGTGATGCAAACGGCCGACACCAGGTGCAACCTTTTCTGCGTCACGAATAGTCTCGACCTCAAACGCTAGGCTGACTCCCGCAATTGCCGCTAGAGAACATTCGCTGACCAGCGCACCAAGAGCAGCTTGCTTCACAGCAGCCTCAGCGTCTTTCGCAGCAGCGAGCCTGCAGCCAATCTCTGATGCCATTTCCATGACGTCGGCCATTCCTCCGATGACTTTCCGTCTTCGGGTTACGAGCACGTCCCGGCCATCATTGCCAAGTTTCCCAGTGCGATCCCATCTACCAGAAAACGCACCGGCCGCAAGCATATGAAAGCGAGCCTTTCTCCTCAGTGTCGCCGCATAAAACGCCAGTTCTCCACCGGCGAAGTAAAAGGTAGCAGGGTGCGCATCATCTGGGCTATCAGACGCTTCTATGGCCTCCCTAGTCCAAGAAGATTCGGTCCAGTCCAAAAACTTGTCGTTCTTGCGCACTGCCGCTAACATGGTGTCCGGACCATCCAACATGAGGTTATGCAACATCGTGAGCACCCTCATCGCACACAAAGGATCTTTGCTGACTGGCTTCGTAAATAGATGCTTAAAAACGGCCGATGCGACCGCCTCCGGCTCTGCATTTAGATCCTCAAGCAATGTCGAGAACGCGGTGCCAATATCAGTTCCACTCACCAACCTGTCGACATTTCTCTCTGTCGCCCTTGAAATATGCTGCGGCAAGGCCTTCTCAGGTTCGTTCTTCTTCTCCACATCAAGCATCGGGGCCCTCAGCTCCGCGCCAACGGACATAGCCATAGCCCTCAGCTCAGCAGGCTGGGCATGCCCTAGTGCAGCGACAATGATATCCGTTAAGCGCCTGGAATAGTTTGGGCTCTCTGGTACTTGCAAGTCCTCCGGCGGCGGCCCCCCAAACACGAGCTCGTACAGCAACACGCCAATATCAAAGGCGTCATCTTGCTTATTCAACCCCGGGTTGTCCCTCAAGATGGCTGAGCGATGGGCGCCAAACCCTGCAAGCCTTATGCATCCTTTATCATCGACGAGCAAGCTTTCGTAAGCGATGTGGCCGTGCGGCTCCGGCAGCTTATCGGCGGCATCTGCCAAATCGGCCGCGATGGTCAACAACACGGCCTCCGACAGGGGCGGATCCTTCGGCAGCAGGCCCCTTCCGCAAAACTCGGCAAGAAAAGTGACGGAAAACGGCGCGGTCCTAGCGACGAAGACGTCGACAAGCTCGGGGATGACCGAGGCGTCATCCGCAAGGCAGGCAGCGCGCCAGGCCGCAGCCTCGTCGACCAAGGCGTCGACCTCGTCTAGCGCCGCAAGCTGCTGGCGCTTGGCGGCGTATAGGCGGGCCGAGGCACGGTCGCGCACGAGCCAGACGGAGGAGGCCGGGTTGACAATGGCCGCGCCCTCGCGGGGCGCTAGGCGTCGCTCGAAGCGCAGGGTCCAGGCACGCGAGGAGGCGCCCTCCAGCGTCTGTTCGGCGCCGAGCGTGCCCCATTGCGATGACATTAGGGAAGTCAGGGGAGAGTGGGAGGCGGGATCGGCGGGGTGGATGGGGAGCAGGGAGCGGGGGCAGAGGGGCCGGGGAATTGAGTAGAGGGGTTTAGCTGGGCTGCGCGATGTGAAGTGCAAGAGAAGCTGGAGCGCTGTGTCAGGGTGATAGGCCAGCAATGCAGCGGAATTAGGGCGTTTTTAGTGGCCTGTGACGTGGGTGCCAGCACGCGCTATTTTAGATTTCCGGCATTCGAGGCCTCGCCTGAATTCCTACGTTGGTGACACCGGAACTGCCGCTACAATATTGGCAGCACGATAACCTTGCTGCTATTCTTTCGTCAACGAGGCGTGTGCGATCGTTTCCATACATACAAAAAATTACCCTTGGGTACTGTACACCGCACTTTCTGACGTAAAGTTTACGCGTGCAAGAAGCGATTAAACCCGTCCGTCCAGTGTTACCTTCTCCTTTCGACAACAACAACTAATGTCGTGCATTACCCAAGGGTAGCATTAGCATAGCATTACCCCTCCATATCCCCTCCATAACCCCTCCACGAATCCCATTGCGTGCCATAGACACTACACCTCCCGCTACTCAGAGTATCAGATTCGTTGAGGAGGCTCGCAATGCATATCTTTAGGCATTGTTGATGCGTCCGGTGCTCTGAGTAAGCTCATCCGCGAGGCTTTCAGCGATTTGTGAAGATACATGTCCGACCTATCACGATTGAATAACACATCGTCCTGCATTGCGCTGCTCGCATGGGATTCGTGGAGGGGTTATGGAGGTCTATCTACAGCGGCTGAAGGCACATCCCACGTTCGTCCGTTAGCAATACCAACACTAGGTTTGTAGGTTTGCAGCTCAACCCTCATCCCAAACTTTGGGAGGCATAGTGGGCGGATGGACATCCTAAAGTTTGGGTCCCAGAGTTGGTGTCCCAGAGCGTCGCTATGCGCGGCGACGCCTGATATCAGGCAAATGGACTGTCTCCACTTTTGGAGAGTGTGCCCTTCTATCCGAACGAAAAGTTTCGCTTATTTGTCTCGGCTAGAAATTCAAAACAAATCAATCTCCAGTCATAAACTGGCGAATAAATGGTCGTAATGCATTATCGCCCACACTTATCAAACATTTATTCCTCATCATGCTAAGCAAGTGAGCTGGCGGCAGCCTGAAACGGCCTCCCACAACTCTCCAAGATCGAGAACCCGAAAAGTCTCCCGCGCTTTGCGTGGCAAAAATAATATCACCCTGCCATGCTCCTCTTGCACGACAGGACTACGCATCACAGCCTCGTCACAACCGCCGCTTTCTGGCTCGCCACAACCGCCCCCCGCACGCACCCGCCACCGCCGCCACCGCCACAACTGCTACACACTCCACGCAATCTCCCTCTCTGCAACCGCCACACCCACCGCTACGCCTTCGGTTTAATCGCCTTGCGTTTGATAAGAGCCGAAACGGATATATATTGTAGTTTGTGCGAAGAGGACGACGGTTTGTCGGACTCGATGTCGTCCAACTGTCACGCAGCAGATAGGCGAAGTGGACAAGCTGGTGAGCCGCAGAGCAACAGTCCGGAGGCTCCCTCAGTTTTAGAGGACGAAGAAGAAATACGCCGGTATAATCCAACGCGCTTTTGCCCCCGAAATGCCCTCCTCCAGTCCCCTCCCAGAGCGAGGCTCGCTCGGTCCGCTACGAGAGTGTACCTTATTGATTGCACCGGCAGTAACACGTACCTGAGCCGGTTGCAGGAGTTCTGGTGGATCAAGCGGGGGACGAAAGCAATACTACGTCAAGCACCAATGCTTCGATAAAATTATGGAAGACGGTGAGTTCGTTGGCTGTTGTTGTAAGGGAAGTGGGAAGGAAATAAGGGATAAGCAGCGAAGATCTCTCAACATGGGGAAGCATGTTTTGCAGTTACCTGTATATACTCAGGTAGTGAAGGATCCCGTCCTTTCAGAATCTAGTGCACCACAGAAGGAGAGGGGATGTACCACAGTAATATTGAGATAAGTTCGAAGAGAAAAGGATCCTTCTCGGCAGATTACCCGACGGGGAAGAAACGCCGCATGGAAAAAAGTCCAGAGCGTGCAAAAGCCCTGACGTCTGCACTTCTTGAGGTTTTTGTCGAGCAAGCGTGGTCGTTCACAGCCCTGAACACTACCGCCGCTCGATCCAACGCTTTTATGAGGTTTCTGCAAATGGCAATGCCAGGGTACGCTAGAGATTATTTCCCCACCCGATTCTTGATGACAGGACGCAAGTTGAATGAGCTGTATGACTCCGTATTAGATAGAGTGTGTCAAAGAATATCCAGCGCCTTGGCAACTGGTTTCGGAACAAAAATCTTTGACGGGTGGGGAGACGCAACCTAAGCTCCGGTCGTGAACGTTTTGCTGCGAACGGAAGCGACTGGATGGAGATTTGGGCGTCGGACGTTCTTCCTCGAGTCGGTCTACACGGGATGTTTGCCCGTTCTTGCATCGGTTTCGATCGTACCTCATGCAGTACTGTGCAGGCGCAGTGGAACTGGTACACGAGACATCGGATGGCGAGGGAAACTCGCGGTCTCGGGCTCTGCGATCGCAAGACCTACGTGGGATCATCCTGGAGCAGTACATGCAGATATCAGGAGAGTGGAATGACGAGAAAGATGACGCTGGGAATGATGAAGTTTTCAAAGAGTTTAGGAAAATGCCGCTGGTATATTGGAAGTCCCTTGCCTTCCGCCATGAGATGGAAGAACTCCGAGAATTTGCAATGAGAACACTTTCTGTATCGCCTTCCTCTTGCGCTGCAGAACGGAGCTTCAGCATACAGGGACGTATTAGAACGAAAGCGAGAAATCGCCTCGACACTGATAAGGTCAAAAAGTTAGCGTTCTCGCACTGGAACATGAACCTACTGGGTGACGTACAGCTTCAGCAGGCTGACTTTTAGCGTTCTGTAGAGGAAAGTAACGATGGGGGAAGTGAGGATTCAGACGACACGGAAGACGAGCAGCAATGGGACACAGAATCAGGGGCTGCAACACGCAGTGTGTTTGAAAACGAGGATGATCTGGACTCGGATCGAATCGGACTTAGGGAAAGAAATCTACATGCCAAGATGACGAATGCTTCCCTCATAAACAGCCTCCAAAGCAGTTCAGGAACTCGTCAGTGATCATGAATGTTGCCGTACTGTGGCAGATTACCGCTCTCCGCTATGGACAGTGGGATTGTTGGTCGAGCACGTACACGGTGATGTTCGGTGTCGGCGTTCTGATGCCCTGTTGCCGGTTACACCGGCGGCACGGTTGTTTTTCGGTCGCTTTGCGCCCTCCGCTGTCCGTCTCTGACGCTCCATCCAGTCTCCACATTTGGCATTTTACCGCGCGGGCGTCTGTTACGGACCTGTATCTTATGATCACACTGTAATGCCTCCTGCCGCTCTCAGCCCCCACTGTACGCCCCGGCCCCTTTGCGTCGGCCCCTTTGCTTATCAGTGGGGGCAGCTGCTCAACTCTCTTTACTCCAGGCAGTCATCCTTTTCTCAGCCCCCGCCCCCGCTCCTCGCCGCGTGGTGCGTGCTGTCAGTCAACCGTCTCTGTGTGCGTACGTCACACTTCTCGTTTAGAATTATCTAGAATTGTTCCATTATTTGTTACCCTACCCAGATGTTTCTATTGAACAAAATCTGTGTTATGGCATTCTACCGCGCGGGCATCTGTTACGGCGCGTTACGCACACACAACGCGCCGTTTTCTCGGACGGGCGACCCCATGCTAGGTTAAATGTGTATCACACAAATGTCAAAATGTGCGCGCGTACAATCCAAATTTACTGTACACAGAGAAAGCGTCGGCCGCCGCCCGACCGACGAGACTCGACATCTACATCCTACCGAGCATGGCTCTGACTGAGAAGCAGCAATAGAATAGTCAATTGGTCATTCATGGTTCTGACGGTGGCTGCTAGTTGGTGAAAACACTCATCGCACTATCATGATTGAGCTTAGCTCACAGCACACACTGTAGTTAGAGCTCTGACGGCTTCATCGCCGGCGTCCGGGGAGTACAAAGCATGCGTACAGTAGGGGGACGCACATTATGTGCGCAAGCATTTCCGTGGCAAAACTCATTTTTTGTGCACAAAAAAGAAATATATGACTCTGACACAAAAAAAAGGAGGCGCCCACTATTGGGCGCCTCCTGAAACCCAAAATACACAAGTTGTGTGTACACAAATCACCATTTTTGTGTACAGGGGGTCGCGATATAGTGCTACCCTGTGTCAATGGGCCGAAAACGGCATTATATCGAACCAGGCACTGTTAGATAATGAGATTTACGGCTTTTTTGCAGCCACTTCTTTGCATCACTGCTCAGAAAGACCGCTCGCAGGACGCCATCACTCATGCTTTGTATCTTCACTACAGACTCAAGTCTAATCAAGCATTTTTGTTATTAGTAGCTGCCGAGCCGTTGCATTGACTTCCTCCTTTTTCGCAGACATAAATGCCAGCCCACACTTTTGCAGATGTCCAATTGCATCATCGACCCTGCCTTTTTCCGCCATAATCTCTATTCGAGTTGGCAACTGCACAATATCTTTCCGCGGCGGCAGCGGCTCTCGGGCAGTACATGTCCATCCAACTGCCTACCTGGAGACCCTTCGTTTTTGGCTCAAAATTCGTCCCACCCGCAGAAGGGTAGCACTATATCGGAGCTGGCACTAACAAATATGGCACTATATCGCGACCCCCCCTGTACATTATTCACTGTAATTTGTGTATGCACAAATGACAAAACTGGTATAGGCGCAACCACGGACGAGGCAAATATGCAACATACACAAATCTCATTTTTAGCGGGAGGCCCTCAGGGCCTCTCCCAACAGGTGCACGCTCAAATATGTATGCACGGTTCTCGCACAACCATTGGCCAGTCTTTGGGGATATGTTAACACGTCCATGCTGGCCAAGCCTTAACTTATAATGCCCTGTTCGCCCTCAAATGCCTGTAAGGCACTAGGACCACACCAATTTTCGAACTCCCTCCTCAAACCCACATGAAAAATCCTCTACACTTTCCTCAAATTCGAAATCTTGGTCCCCACAAAACCACCGACCTGCCACTGGCGCGAACTGCGCTACATCGTTCTCTACACCCCTTTGCACCTTCTCCCTTTTTCCTTTTCCTTCTCGTATGGATTGTAACAAAGCGACCCCTCCTGCAGAGAACACCAGGGGCAGAACGAAGAGCTATTCAGGGAACGCGCTTATTCCCCGTTCTATCCACTTCCAGGACGACGGTCACCAACCCCGCTCAAAACAACCCTTTCCTTCCAGGTCAACATCCACCTCAATGGCAGTTTTATCAAGCACAAATGATTCAGAGGCTCATGCGAGCAATACGCCCCAAAAAGCCCATGCCTTTTTTCACACCAGACAGTCGTGGTGCTTCGCAAGATCGCACGCACATGGAAGCTTCGGGTTTCAGTACAAAAAAATGTTTTAGCGGCGCAGTGTGTCTGTTACGTGATGAGAAAGGTTGAAAATGGGGAGAATGTGGACTGTATTATGCGTCAAATGCCAGAGACGCTAACTTTCGAGCTTTTTAATGTTATTGAACCTGCGCACAGTGTCCCCTCAAGAGAAGAACTACAGAACATTTGCGATGATGCTGTGAACCGTTCAAAGCCGAGAGCCTTACCTAAGGCGAACAGTAAATCACCACACGACCCAAACGGAGCAAAAGAACATGAACAAGGTACAGACCAAGAGGAAAACAGAGTTCCACCTGTATCAGAGGACGTGGAGGAAATTGCACATGCTTCAGTTTTTTCAATTGGCGAGTATGCTCGCCTCTGTGTTATATTATGCGATCATCCAGACTGCCGAGAAGCACTCATTAATTCAGGGAAGGAAATGACCCCTGCCGCTCTGGACGCTAAAATTCGACGGGACTACTTCTGGACTACTGTAGTGGAAAAGTTTTTAATGACGAGTCGTATCGCCCTAGAACGCCAGAGCTACTTGGATTCGTTGATGGTGTTCATGCTGAAAATTGTCCTCCCTGCCACCGTCCCGGGAATCGTTTAAAGGAATGGATTCGGAATTGAGGTCGGACTTTACGACACCATATGATAGTTGGAAAAGGTCGGGCCAAAACGATCCTGATAGATTTATTGATTTTCTTCCACAGTTCCAAGGAAGGCCAACTGCCAAATCACGACGATTGCTCGTGTTTTTCGTGATTTGCGAGTGCGGGACTCCGAGTGCTGATCACGACTTCCTCAATATGGCGTCAAAGTTAATGACGTCATCTGAAAAGCGGGGGTATGAGGAAGGTCTCGGGGAGTTGGACGACGCCATGGCTGACATTCTGGACAGCATTTCCATTCCTAGTAGTAATAGTTCTAAAAAGAGACGGACCCAGGAGACGGCCAATTACAAGGAAGAGCTTGCGTCCATGGCCAAGACCATGGCCGAGATGAAGGGTCAGATGGAACAACAGAACGATTCCAATCTGATACAGTTGAAGAAAGAAGCAGATCTCATCAACCTATTAGAAGTTGCAGAGGCAAAAGTAGCTGCTATGAGGAGCAAGCCAAATCCAACACCAACGCCAAAACTCTATCTTGAAGTAGTTGAGAACCACTTCAGAAAAATATTTGAATCGCTTCAGGGAGGTACCAATACTTCCAAAGATTAGTGACCCCATGCTTTCCTTTACTAGACGCAATCACTCTCATATATCGATCGAATTTGAAATGAAGGATGTTTTCTCTCCTGCCCGAGAAATCCCCTAATCCCGAGTTTGACGCAAGACACACAGAGGCTGCCGTCGAAAGTGCGATGGCTTTGGCTTGCAGCAGAAGGAGGTTTGAGAGAGGGAGAGTTGCGATTGCGGGGAATGAGGCCGGACGGCCGGGACGTGGGACTTGAAGACGGAAGCTTGACGTGGGTGGTGTTCAACTACGGGGGCGGGCCTCGTGGTGGTGAAAAATAGAGGGGGAGAGGGGGTGTGCGGGGATTGCGGGGGGTCGTGAGGCGCGTGTCGGGGTGGGTCGAGCGGGGTGTGGCGGCGGCTGGCAAAGGCATGGACGAAGGAGGGGTGGCGATCGTGAGAGGGGTTGGAGTCGTGGTCGCAGACGACGCGTAGATCTGCAGGGAAGTCGCAAAAGCTGAAGGTGCGCGGCGGTTGGGTGTAGTCTAAACACCTCCAACGGAGGGGGGTGTATACTCAGTTCTAGCGGAGACCCCGATCGGAGAAGGGAAGCAACCCCAGCTAACGGAAGCGGGAAGAGGGCCCGGGTAGCATGGTGGTAGAGCGGGTTCGTACGGGGACGCGCGCACGGGCGGGTCGATCTACGCCTCGACGCCGTGGGGCAGCGCTGGGTTACGTACAAGCGCTGACGGGCGGAGGCAGATCTAGGCTCGCTCGTGTGCTCGCGCGTCCCCTGCCCGTTCAGCTCCTAACTAGATACGGGCTATTGTAGGCAACCCGATCTAGAATAAGCGGGGCGAGCTTGACCAAAGGCGTAGGTTCTGAACAAGCTCGTGCTTGTCCTCCCCCGTCGCCGTCGGTCCGCTCACGTATTTAATGTACAAGTTAGTCTATCATACTACAGTACAGTACGTACTGTACTATAGTGCTACTGTGGTCGGCTACAGTAGTGGGTGCGGGTCGCGCGTACTGTAGGGCTGTCAGCATTCGGTGCTAACAGCACACGCGCTCGTGCGCGTCGTACTGTAGAGCTCGGGCTCTACAGTAGCTGATCTAATCTAAATCTAGTCCCAGGGGGTTATACTACATGGGGGGGGCCCTGAAGGAAGGAGAGTGGCGTGGACTTGGCGGTCCGCGGCAGTGGCGGCCACGGCGGGGGTGTGAGAGAGGGAGAGTTGCGGTTGCGGGGAATGAAGTCTGACGGCCGGGACGGAGGACTTGAAGACGGGAGCTTGACTTGGGTGTCGTTCAAATACGGGGGTGGGCCTCGTGGCGGTGAAAAGAAGAGGGGGAGAGGGGGTGTGCGGGGATTGTGGGGGGTCGTGGGGCGCGGGTCGGGGCGGGTCGGGCGGGGTGTGGCGGCCGCTCGCAAAGGCAATGACGAAGGAGGGGTGAGGGTCGTGAGAGAGGAAGGAGTCGTGGTTGCGATCGCGGTCGAGGTCGGGTTGGTGCGACGGAAGGCGTGCGGTGTTGGGGGCGGTGTTATGCAGGCGGAGCTTGCGAACGGCGCCACGGTAGCCGCAGCATCGGCGTCGGTTGCAGCGGAAGAAGCAGAAGGGGGTGGGTGCAGTCGACGCGGAGATCTGCGGGGAAGTCGCAAAAGCTGAGGGTTGGCGGAGGTTGAGTGGCCTTGACGGTTGGGGGGATGGCGTAGACTCGGCGGTCCGCGGCGGTGGCGGCCACGGCGAGATGCGGGTGATGCGGCGGATCCGGGCGGTAGACAGGGGACGACGGGACAAAATAATATTAGGTAAGATCGGGGACGGCGTAGTGGGCGCGAGCGGGCGGCGGGTAGACAAATTGGGCGGGGCAAGGGGGGCGGCGGGGGGTCGGGGTAGGCGTGGAGGTGGAAGACGACGGTGTCGGGCACGTTGTCGGGGGTTAAAACGTGCCTGTAGCGGGGGCGGGGGCGACGGCGGCATGGATGACGCCGCGGACGTTGGCACGTGCGGTACAATTGCCAAGTGGCGCTACTGTACTAGGCGGGCCCCAGAGGCCTCGCCAAGTACAGTAGTAAGATGTTAACCGATACGGTGCATATGTGGCCAGCACGTGTAGATGTGGCCACGTAGGAGTCCACGTGTAGTTAGTGGCACCAGCTAGTGCAGGTGTACACGTAGTGCGCGACCGATCGGTGGGTTAGTACAGTAGTCATTTTTAGTTACCGTAAGCTACAGTAATCTGGCTACAGAAGGTACAGCTACTGTAGTACGTGCGGTGCCACAGCCCTACTAGGAAGTATAAGATAGGGGGGCACCGGGCTGGAGGTAAACCGAGGAAAGCACGCCTCCCCTTACTTCCTACCCTAGTCCTTTACCACTGTTAAGTAAGTCCCTCACATTTCCAGCTCGCCACCGGTCGTACTGCTCTACACCCCAGTACGACTGCGCGTGTCCAGTGCGGTTTACCTCCCTTGTCCTGTGCTTCCTACCGTTCCGGATTATTCTACCTGACGCTCCAGTGTAGCGGTCTCCCAAGCTCCCTCATTTTAGGTACAGCCTGTCCTTTTCCATTTACGGTTTAGTATCCCTACGGTTGTACCGCAGCGCGGACAAGTCGGGATTGCGCGGCGGTGGCCGTGAGGCGGGCGTGGGCGGGGCGAATGGTGGTAGCGGCGGCGGCGGCATGGCATCGGGACGACTTTTGTGTCGCGGCGCGGCGCAGCGGGGCGGGCGGGGTTGTGTTCGGTGCGGCGCTGTTGTCGGACTTCGCCGTGGGGGATGTTGGCCTCTGCGGTTGTGGGGTGGCCTATGAGGCGGGGAAGACGCAGCGCAGGCGCGACAGAACGGAAGTGCGGCCTTTGCAGCGGCGCACTGTCTGCACGGACCGCGCACCCTCGCGCGCCATCAGCGAGCCACGCTTTCAGAAACCTGCAATCCCTGCTGCAAACGTCGCGCCGCACGCTTTTTCTCTGCTACATAAGTTCCAACCATCTTCCCGAAAACCAAACCTCCACCATCTCCTCCTCCATCTTCGCCTCCTCTCTTTCCCGGCCCCCACTCTGCTTCTCCCATCACCACCCCACATGCACCCTGCTTGTTGAAAAATAAGCCCTGTTCTGAATTCGGCTTCTTCTTGGATCTACGTTCAGAATAAATTTCCACCTCCACCCTGTGCGATTTATTTACATCGCACGGCAACTCTTTAGTTCTATCTAAAAGCCTGTACCACGGGGGGTCTTTCCCGCCTACTCGTAGCAACAACTTTAACAAGCTCAGTGCGTTTCTGAATTCTTCTCCTGTGAGAGGGTAAACTATTTCCACCCTGTTGACGTATACTGTACGCATCCGTCTATGCCAGCTTAAGCTTTCTCGATACACCCGTCTGAACTCTTTTTCACACATTCCCTCTCGTCTACATTATCCTTTCGACAGACAAAAACTGTGTAGTTTCATTGCGACGGCGACAATCCGCGAGCTCTTCCGCACTGGAAAGCCTAAAGGTTTCTGAAATATTCCCCACTTCGCCGTAAGCATTCCAAAGGCTTGTTCCATATGCATCCGCAATGAGGAGTGGAAGAAATTGAATGCATCTTCCTCTGATGATGCATGACACCTGGGAACTGGAGTGATGAGATCTTCTGTGCACATGTAAGCCTCATCACCGGCAATCCAAAACTCGCCATCCAAATTTTTGTTCTGTAAATACTTTCCTAGAGACGAAGCAGCATGCGCAAGAGAGTCGTGCGTGGATCCGACACATCGGAATGAGTAAGATAAAAAATTATAGCTAGAATCCACCATCGCCTTAACGCATAACGCGTAGAAATCCTTCTGGCTATAGTAAACGGCAGGGTTTCCCTCCTCTCGTGGCTTTTTTATCTTGATAGCCAACCCACCTAGAGCACCAACACACTCATTCAATGGATTGGGCGATTTTAGAGACGTCTTGAATTGCATCGCGAAGCGATGCAAGTCTTGCAGTGTTTTTGGTAATCCCGGAAGCTTCAGAACTGTGTTCAAAGCGCTTATAGCACTCTCAAGCACCCTGTATATTGTAGAAAGCTTAACTTGAAACACAGCAACCAGGTCCCATACATCTGCTCCAGCCATGATACGAAGTGTGATAGAAAGTCTGATATCAGCAGGTACAGTCGTTCTGCGAGATCGCTGTCCCATTTCAATGTTTCTGTATTTGATCCCGAGTGACGTTCAGGAGATCGGCAAAAACTTCTCGTGACATTCGAAAAGCGTTTGCGAACTCTTTTCGTGTGTAGATCGCAGTAACATTCTCGAAGGTAATTCCCATCCGTAATGGTCGCGAGATTGTTGTACTGACACGCCTTCTCTTCGAGCTGACTTGTTTAGTTTCCTCTGAACTGACGCATATACTTGCTGCACTTGCCGCAATTGACATGATCAAACATATCTTCCTTTGGTCATCAACACCTGGTGGGGACATACTTCACAGGTGCTGCTGTGAAGAAGAGGTTTTCACTGGTTTGAAATCGAATATAGGTGCCGTGCGCTTTCTTTTCCACGCTAGTTTTCGCAGCATTGCATGCAAATATGACAACGGCGTTGATGTCATTTCCCTCCCTATACTGTAAAGGCGTCAATGAATACTTTGTTATTCTTAGTTTATTCATCCATCTGTATACATCTGCACGAGTGACGCAAACGCTGTTTTCAGCCAATCACATGGCTTAGACCGTGCATTCATCTTCGAATTTCTCTGTTGGGAGAGCGATGCGGTAACGACAAGACGTTGCAGTTGTAACCCCCGCAC